AGAGGGTTGTCTTTGAGCCTGCCACTCCCGATTTAGTGGCTGAGGACTTCTGGGCATCTGTGAGCAGATCTCTATAAAATCCATACTATGGTAAGTGCACATGCTAAGCTTCTGTGCACTTTCTAAAATCCACATGGTAGTAAGTGTGCACGCTAAGCACTCTGCACACTTTTCTAAAATCCTGTATGGTAAGGGTTACGCATTGTTAGCCTTCTTCCCTTTCTCTGAGTTGGCGTACTAACCTTGGGCTTCACACAACTAGTGTGTCTCTGTTGATACACTTTTAAAGCATCTCTCCCCTCACTGTAGAGGGTTATTTATGAGCATGGTGCTTTCTTCCGAGCGTTCGAGTTCTCTCCCCTTCTGAGGAGTTGAATTCCTTGCTCCGTGGGCTGTTCCCGTGGTAGTGTTTAGCAGTGCTCCCCTCTATCAGAGGGTTGCCTATGAGCACGCTACTTTTTTTTACCTTTTCTGAATTCGGAGTTCTTCTCTCACGTGGAGAGATGAGTTCTCTGTTTTCCCAGAGCACCTGGAACCGGCAACATCAGGCAAACTAGGCCCTTCCTCTGCCTCCCTGATGCGCTGAGTTTTTGGCTAAGCTTGCAGTACGCTTACCCTTCAGGATTTCTAACGAACATGCTGTAGGTCGAGCCCCCTCTCGGCTGAGAGCTGGGTGTTATACTCCCTCAGCTAGGTAACTTACTGCTAGCCATTCCAGCATTATACCATGAGGATGAGTTGGTGCTTCTCAGATGTATTGTTCTTGAGATGCGCCATTTCCACCTATGGTCTGCTCCTTCAGAGTGCCACGAGGGCCCCTTAGAATGGTATCTTTAAAATCCATGATATGGTAAGTGCACATGCGAAGTCCATGTGCACTCTCTAAAATCGACCCTGTGGTAAGTTCGCACATTAAACTTTTTGTGTTCTTTCTAAAATCCTGTATGGTAGGGGCTACGCGTGGCGGCTTCGTGCCCTTTCTTGAGTCGGTTAGACCCCGGTTCCACCTTGGGCACCACTCCACTTGTGTATCCTTCGGATACCTACTTTAACAGGGTGTTGCTACTAGGGGTCTGTTGAGACAGTTCCTTCAGCAAGCTCATGCCGAGCAAGTGGTAGCCCCTGTGTGACAGGCCAAGACCTAGTACGATTCTAGGCACTTGGTCGTATTCCCTTAAAAGAATCTATTCCTGATTCCAAGCCTTGAGCTCTATCCCGGGCCCAGGAGTTCTGGCCCTAACAGGTATGTTTTTTGGGGTATCTAGCTTATGCCTTTGGCCGTAGGGGATAATGTCACTGACAGCTGTCTAACGTCCCAGGGGCATCTCCCTTAAAGCTTTGGTAGAGTTCGTACTTAGTGCTCGCATGTGGTTTGGCATGCACTCCCCTCAGCATGGTGGCATGGGTATACTGTTCCCCATAGTGACCCCCAGAGTTTCCTCTAGGTTTCCTGCCATGCTTAAGACATAAGCTTCAGACGAAGAAGCAGATGACGTGTTCTCCCGGCGCCTATTTATACTACAGTCGCACCGGTAGTGACGTCATAGGCTGTCGCCGGCCAATGCTATTGTCGTTTTTAGATATATGCTTCAGACACCGGTCACACTGAAGGTGTTTCACATAGCGACGCCTAGAGGACGCAGTGTCTCATTCCCTACTCAGGGAACCATGGTTACATACGTAACCTGAGACGTTTTCTTGTATTTGGTTTTTTATCATTTATTTATTTATTTTTTTTTACTATGCGAGGTGTGGGATTAATGTGCTGTACATAGGAATCAAATATAATTTACATTTTAATTTTTTCAGCAGCTGTTGCCCATATTCCTCCTGCCAGGAGAGGAGACAACAAAACCAGAATGCCTCCTGAGAGTGAGTCTAGTCTTCATTGATACACAGAGACACTATACAGGATATTTGAGCCACCTAAAGGGTCACTTCAGGGTGCTGATTATTTTACAGGCACCCATTACATTGTGACATACTGTAACATCATGTGTGTTGTGTGTTTCAGTGAGTGATTTGAGGATTGTTCTTCTTGGTAAGAGTGTGTCAGAGAACAGCCAAGTGGGAAACTTCATCTTAGGAAGAGCTGCGTTTGACAGTGAATCTCCTTCAGATGATTAGTACCAGCCTCAACGGCTACAACAGGACAAGTCGATTGCTCCGCAACTGTCCCTGTGAGCTCCCGGACTGCAGTGATTTCCTTAATGAGCTCTGAGAACTCCTGAACTGGAGCGGGCCCTGAAATGGATCTTGTGAGCTCCCGGACTGGAGCGGGCCCTGAAACAGATCTTGTGAGCTCCCGGACTGGAGCGGGCTTTACTGTCCTCCTTCTCACCCTCCGCCGCTTAGTGGGAGTCTGAAGGATAGAGGTGGTGGGAAAATCCCTGCAGAAGGGTTCTGATTGGCCTGGTATTGCCCACTGACTTCGACCCTGGAGATACTTGACGAAACCCCAGAAGTCTAGGATCTCGAGTCCTTCCACCTCCCACTGGGGCAAAGGATTATCCAGACAGATGTTAAGGAGGTCCTTAAGTACAGCCTCATTATAATTCAGCCCCACCGCCAGCGTCCAAAAAGTCTGGGCAAAACCACCAACCTCCATTCCTTGCTGCCGCCGAGCCATCAGAGTCCGGTATTGAGCCAGTCGCTCCTTCCCTGTGGCAGGAGGGACAATCCGAATGTCCATATTTCAAAAAAGGAAAAAGAAAAACAAACTGCTGGATCTTGTTGTGGTTGCAGTATTCTGTCACAGAATGCCAGGAGAAAACAAGGATAGATCCAAGTGCAGTTTATTAAAGTATAAAATAAACAGAACAGAGGCAAAAGGTAATCCAAAACACAGGGAACAGATAATGTAACCTTAACAACATCAAACACAAACATCAGAATCAAATAATACTGCAGCAAAGACAGACAGAGTGAGCATGGTATATGTAGTGATGGGATGATGAGTAAATGACTAACAGGTGATCATGATCAGAACAGAAACGACAGGCAAGGGACTATGGGAAATGGAGTTCAACACATGTAACACAGAAACGGGAAAGTGGCCAGTCCAGGGCACCACAACCAGACACTGTGACAATAGCCTCGCATTCATTTTTGCATGCTTTTCATCAAACTTGTTTGCAGATTATTCAAGAACGGTTTGACTAATCAATTTGAATTCCATAACTTTTTGCCAGCATGGTCAGAAGATGATCTGAGCCAATTTTAGTGAAAACAAACTTTTAGGCAAACCTTCTAGTAGTTTTTCAAACTATTAACAAAAAACAATGTGCAAAAAAAAAATCTTTACCTATAGAATTTTACATTTTGCGGTCCATTTGACTCGGCATGAGCCAAGGATTCAGAGAGAGGAGAAAAAAAAAGTTTTAGACATCTAAACTTTACAGTTCAAAAGTTATTAGCATAAATAAGTGCAAATTTTAACAGTTGTTGGCGCTAGAGGTTGAGTTAGAGACTCTAAATTTCCTATGGTTACAAATCAGATGGTCCTCTATCCGTGTGCCAAATGTAATAACTTTCCTGCAAGCAGTTCTACCGGCTGCCTTAGACTTTCAGAGCGGAAGAACACCACCAATGATTACAATAGGTGCCTAAGCTCCTTTGGTGCTTGGCTCCTAATAATAATAATAATAATAAATGCATCTGGAACAGAAGATTTATGTACAGATTTGTGTTATTTACTGTATATACAGCTGTATAAATAAAAATGTATTTACATAAAACTTGAGGCAATAATTAGTTAAGAAACAAATTACAGAAGACAGGTGGTCATTTTTGTGATGATAGCGGTTTAAGCTGGAGATCTATGCCTAAATGTTTTAGTGCACAGAGTTCTGCAACGTCTGCCTGAGGGTTGTGGCCAGGGGGAGAGGGTTCTGTGATGTTACCTTTTAACGTTTCTCCACTCTGGATTTGTACAATTCCTGAAGATTGGGCAGGTGCACACCACTTATCATTTAGCTGTCCCAACGGTCCATTGCAGTCTTCTTATATCTGATTTGCTGCCTGACCCAAGGAAGCTACGAACCGAGGAAGCCATGCACGGCGCCATCTTATCTGCTTATGCACGTTTAATAACAGCTTGCCTTATACTCTACCACAGGGGTGCCCAACCCTGTTCCTGGAGATCTACCAGCTCCAAACCTGATCAAACAGCTGAACCAACTAATTAGGATCTGAAGGAGCACTTGATAATTACAGACAGGTATGTTTGATCAGGGTTGGAACTGAACTCTGCAGGAAGGTAGATCTCCAGGAACAGGGTTAAGCACCCCTGCTGTACCACGTTGCCAGAGTTGAACACAGCTGTACGGGCATTCAGAGCAGCACAAACCTTATTGTTTATTCATGGCTTCTGATTGGGGTAGATTGCAGTCTGGCCATTCTCCTCTGATCTCAACAAGGCATTTTCACTTACAGAACTGCTGCTTACTGGATATTCTCTCTTTTTTGGACCATTCTCCGTAAACCCTAGAGATGATTGTGCAAAAAATTCCCAGCAGATCAACAGTTTCTGAAATACTCAGACCTGCCCATATGCCACATTCAAAGCCACTTATATCAGCTTTCTTCCACATTCTGAACTTCAGCAAAACATCTTGGCCATGTCTTCATGCATAAATGCTCTGAGTTGCTTCATGTGATTGGCTGATTAGATATTAGCATTAACGAGCAGTTCAACAAGTGTACCTAATAAAGTGGCCGAAAAAAATAATGGTGATTTGATATGATTAATCTTTAGAATAAACATACAGAGAATGACCAAAATCAAACATTTACTAATAATACAAATTACAGTTTTGTTATGTTCAATAATGTTGTGTTCAGTAATTTATCATTTGAATTAGTTTATAAATTAAGCTTTGTTGTTTGTTTTCTTGTATTTGGTTTTTTATCCTTTTTTATTTTTTACTATGCGAGGTGTGGGATTAATGTGCTGTATATAGGAATCAAATATAATTTACATTTTAATTTTTTCAGCAGCTGTTGCCCATATTCCTCCTGCCAGGAGAGGAGACAACAAAACCAGAATGCCTCCTGAGAGTGAGTCTAGTCTTCATTGATACACAGAGACACTATACAGGATATTTGAGCCACCTAAAGGGTCACTTCAGGGTGCTGATTATTTTACAGGCACCCATTACATTGTGACATACTGTAACATCATGTGTGTTGTGTGTTTCAGTGAGTGATTTGAGGATTGTTCTTCTTGGTAAGAGTGTGTCAGAGAACAGCCAAGTGGGAAACTTCATCTTAGGAAGAGCTGCGTTTGACAGTGAATCTCCTTCAGATGATGTAGCGCCGTACAGTGACAGAGTCCGAGGAAAACATGCGACTGTCATCAACACTCCTCTCCTGCTCAACCCAGATCTCTCACTACGTCACATCACAGAGGCAGTGAAGGAGTGTTTGTCTCTGTGTGCTCCAGGACCTCACGTGATCATTCTAGTCCTCAAACCTGACGAGTGTTCAAGAGAAGAGAAAGTGTGCATCGAGATACTGCTCAGCTGTTTCTCTGACAGTGTGTTTCAACACACCCTGGTGCTCACGACACAAGAGCCAGAACGCGCTGAGCCGACTGAAGTCAATGATGTCATAAAGGAAATCATTAAAAAGTGTTCTAACAGACACAACAGATTGGAGAGAAACAGCACTCCTGCTGACCTTATAGCGACAGTTAAGGAAATTGTTCAGGAGAATGATGGATGTTACTTGAATTGTAACAAATGTGAAGATTTCACTACAGAAGCCACAGAAAGAGGTGAGTGCACAAAATATTTCAGTAAATATAATTTATTTGTAAATAAACATTTTATGCTGCAGTCACATCATGTTGCATCAAGTTATCAGCATATTGGTATGCATGTCATGCAAACCTCTATATTAAACTAGTAAAAAAAAAAAAAAGTAAATCAAGACAAACGTTTGAGCTGGCTTTTATGAAAGCCTGGGGTCCTTTGTTCCTACCTTGTTTAAAATATTTTTGATTATTTAACAGATGCCAGATCTTCTAATCATGATAACTGATCTCTGGCTAATTTGACATTCACGTAATAGCTGTCATTGTTCAAATTAATGCATGGTTCAGATTAACTGTACAGCATGTAAGTCTAATAAAATTATAAAACTTTATTAAGTTGGATAAAAAATAAAACATTATCCGATAAGAATAAATTTAATTACATGCATCAAAAAAAGTCATGTGGTTTTGCATGATGGGACGGCATAACTACACAAACCAGTGGACGGACCGATCTTGTCACACAGTATTTGAAATGCTGTTTTGATCATTCTAAAGTGCCTGAACAAAGACTGTCGTCAAAGTAGTTCGGTATAATTACCTTCCAGAGCTGTCTTACGCGACTGCATTCCCAAACAGCAGACACCACCAAAAATAAGATAACAAGTTTATTGCATTTCGTCTGTGTGCTCTGAAGCTCAAGTCATTTAATATATATATATATATGTACAAAAATTATTATATACTGTGGCTTCTCCTACTTAGTGTTATTTAGAACCAGTTTATCAGGAAGTGAAAATGTTGTTCCCTTTGACTCACTGGAATGAATCGCTGCTTTATTCACATGTTTTATGAAATATTTGTGCACCAATTGTTCACAAATTAAACACAACTTTGGATGGAAACATAGCTAATGAGGTAAACTGATGTGTCTATTATTATTTTTTTTAAATATATTTATAATATTGTATAATAATAATAATTATTATTACTTTAAGTCATTATTGTACCTGGTTTTGTAGGGTACTCTTGCAAGTAGGGAAGTCCCGATCAGGTTTTTTGTGGCCCCAATCTAAGTCATTGAATATTGAGTATCTGCCGATCCAGAACTTGTATTTTTCCTAGTGCTTGGTGCATATTATAAGTACATAATCCCCAGGTTTCACAGACAAGGCTTAAACCTAGTCCCAGACTAAAATGTAAATCTGAGCTGTTTTAACTGAAAGAAACTCACACTGACTGATCTTAAAATATATCAGTGCCTTTGTTTTGTCTCGAGATTCACACCAGTAACGTTTTTTTCTAAGGCACATTTATAAAAAATTACTTACATGTCCTAATTGATCTATGGGCTAATCCTGGCTCAATCTAAGCCCTGTCTGTGAAACCGGGGGTAAAGAGCATCTGTCATTACTAATATCCAATATAACAATTTCTATATGTACTATATTACAAATATATCTTCTAATAATAAGATACACATATCTCAATATATTCACACACTGTATAAAGACATTAGCAGATGTAAACATGTTACAATGATAGACATTGTAAACCGACTTTCTGGTCATAATTATTAATATGATACTACTGATATAAACGTCTTGTATTTTAGCATATTAATTGCAACATAAAGGGTAAAAAGTTGAGATAAGGTTAGAAAGCTTGAAGTTTACGAATGTCAGTCTATCAGTTCAAAGCATGATGCAACCCTTAACGCAGTTATGACAACGATGTCTCCATTATAAGTACATAATCCCCAGGTTTCACAGACAAGGCTTAAACCTAGTCCCAGACTAAAATGTAAATCTGAGCTGTTTTAACTGAAAGAAACTCACACTGACTGATCTTAAAATATATCAGTGCCTTTGTTTTGTCTCGAGATTCACACCAGTAACGTTTTTTTCTAAGGCACATTTATAAAAAATTACTTACATGTCCTAATTGATCTATGGGCTAATCCTGGCTCAATCTAAGCCCTGTCTGTGAAACCGGGGGTAAAGAGCATCTGTCATTACTAATATCCAATATAACAATTTCTATATGTACTATATTACAAATATATCTTCTAATAATAAGATACACATATCTCAATATATTCACACACTGTATAAAGACATTAGCAGATGTAAACATGTTACAATGATAGACATTGTAAACCGACTTTCTGGTCATAATTATTAATATGATACTACTGATATAAACGTCTTGTATTTTAGCATATTAATTGCAACATAAAGGGTAAAAAGTTGAGATAAGGTTAGAAAGCTTGAAGTTCACGAATGTCAGTCTATCAGTCCAAAGCATGATGCAACCCTTAACAACGCAGTTATGACAACGATGTCTCGGATAGTCTGACGGCAGATAAAATTAGGCTAAATAGTAAATATATTACTGCAGAGTGATTCTTTGCACAAAGTGGACATCAAATACTCTAAACACGGAATATTGAATGCGTGACACGCTAGAACATACCGCATTGTCCTCGCACCACATGCACATTTGAGTGTCGTCTTTACCTTTTAAAGCGGTGGACTGCTGAAAGTGCATACCTATATGCCACCTATTGAACGACACCGGCAGGACAGCTAAAGAATCACCAGTGGATCGGGCTCAGGAGAGCCGATACCAATCAGTGAAAAAATGCTTAATCGGCCCCGATCCCGATCCTTTAGATTGGCTCAGGACATCCCTACTTGCAGTGGCTGGGACAGACTTTAAGTATCAGCTCGGCTTAAAAATATGCTAAATAATCCTGTTTACATGAAATAAGGCTGATCCTGAGCAGGTTTGAGCTCACAGCAACTCCAGGATGAGCTTCGAAGAACCTAACAATCCTAGATAATGTCAAATCATCAACAGTTAAATCCAGATAACTTGAGTAATTCAGTACGACATCAGACCCTGAAGTACAACTCAATATCCTGAAATCTGAAGGTTTTATGTCAGGGGTGTCCAAAGTATGTAATGAATTTCAAATGGCCTGCAGCTTGTTCCCTGTCAGTGTATTTTTAAAACCAGTGTCCAGCCACCACAAGCATTTTTGATAATTTTCACCCAATTTTCATGGCCCCAGAATATAAAAATCGAGAGCTGGAACATTCCATCTTTGACAGGGAAATGTGTCTTAAATGATGGACAATAAATGCAGCCTTGGTGAGCAGAAGAAAGTTCTTTCATATATAAAGGAACTCTTTTTGGGGGACTAAATTAGCTTCACAGTAGGGTCTAACCCAGCACAACAGGAACTACCAGTGACGGTAGTGTATATTGATTGGCCAAACACACGTGAACCACCGGCACCCAACGTTTTTAAAAAGCCATGTAAGCATATTTACTTTACTAACATGGAAATCATCGATAACAGCATTTACCTGTTATCTGCAGCGCTGTGATTTTTCTCAGCCTTGATGACATCTAACACTGGTACATGAAAGAACTGAACTATGCGGTGTGAAAGCCTCTTGTATAAATGAATGAGAAGTCCACAGAAATAAACCGCACACCCTTTAAAGATAGTTTGGACACCCCTGTTTAATGTAGTCTCTATTCCTTTGGTGCGGGGATTAAAGTGTTCCGTCGCTACGACGGATTTAAGTCAGTTCATAAAGACAGTCACTTGCTTCATTCCTGAATGATTCAGCCATTCGAACAAATCGATTGAATGAATGATTCAGTGATAAAATCAGTGACTTCCTGCCACCTGCTGGCGGATTTAGTTTCATTTTCAGCGTATAATTTCAGTTATTTAAATCATATTTCTGTATTAAAATTTTTATATGAAAGAACTGAACTATGCGGTGTGAAAGCCTCTTGTATAAATGAATGAGAAGTCCACAGAAATAAACCGCACACCCTTTAAAGATAGTTTGGACACCCCTGTTTAATGTAGTCTCTATTCCTTTGGTGCGGGGATTAAAGTGTTCCGTCGCTACGACGGATTTAAGTCAGTTCATAAAGACAGTCACTTGCTTCATTCCTGAATGATTCAGCCATTCGAACAAATCGATTGAATGAATGATTCAGTGATAAAATCAGTGACTTCCTGCCACCTGCTGGCGGATTTAGTTTCATTTTCAGCGTATAATTTCAGTTATTTAAATCATATTTCTGTATTAAAATTTTTATATTTAAAACATTAATCTCCACATGAATTTATGAATTTAATTGCACTAGTAGTACAATAGTACAAATTAATTTATTAATACTAATTTAACATGATTGGCAACTTATTTGTATTATTCTACATATTGTTTTAAATAGAAATTTTAAAAAGATTATAAACATAATTCTTCTTTAAATTTGATACATGAAAATGATGCCATTACAAAGGTAAAAAGAAAATGCTCCTGTAAGTCACTTTAAGGAGTCAAATGTCAGCTTTTTTTATCAGAATTTTTGATTATTGATGAGAAGGTGCTCCTAAATTTTTTAATTACGAAGACAAGTGCTCCTAATTACAAGAAGAAAAAAACTGCTCTTAAACTGGGTGTGTGACAGGAATTTTTTTTGGCTTTAACCCCTACAATATAATAAGGAGTAGAATAAGAGAAATAAGTTACCAATCATATGAAATTAGTATTAATAAATTAATTTGTATTACAGAAGTGGCACACAAAAGTGGCTTGTAACGACTTCGAACGTGGCTGTCTTTATGAACTGACGGAAATCCGTCGTAGCGACGGAACTTTAATCCCTGTAAGATGTTGCTGTTAGATAGTTGCTGTTTATTTTTCCTTGAATTTGGCTTTTGGGTTACATTCAATATTTAGATTTTCTATACATTGAAAATCTCCGACATGACTTTATCATCTTTTCTGGAAGTCTTTCGGAACAACAGCTGAATATTCAGACCTTACAACACTTTTAAAGCATCATGATATGTTTAAAGACTAGGATGTTCAAACAAGACATTTAATTTTGTCTAGGTACAGTACAGCCATACACAGTGTGAATACTAATTATACTATATTGAAATCTGGATGTTCAAACTATTATTTTATTTTCCTTTCAGCGGCACAGGTGGAAACAGGTCAGGAAAAAGCTATTAGACTCCGCCAGTCTGCTGTTAACGAGAATCCTAAAATGTCAAGAGAAACCACAAGCAGCGAAAACATGGAAACAGATCTCAGCAATGCAAAGGGCTTGAGTGTTGCACAAATTATAAAGGACAACCAGAGCAGAAAAATAGAAGATGGAAGCAATGAAAACCTACCAATTTTTAAACTCCATCTGGTTGAAACATGGCAGCACATTGATGGATTCTGCAGAAGAAGCACATTTGGGAAAAACATCCCAAAAGAGAACAAGACCATTATGATGATCGGAGCCACAGGTGCAGGAAAAACCACTCTAATTAACAGCATGATCAACTACATTCTGGGAGTGCAATGGGAGAACGACTTCCGGTTTGTGCTGATAGATGAAGGGAAGCAGAAATCCCAGGCTGAAAGTCAGACGTCAAAGATCACAGCATATCAAATTAATCACATGGATGGCTTCCGGGTCCCATTTTCTCTGACCATAGTGGACACACCAGGCTTTGGTGACACCAGAGGAATTTCACATGACCAGAAAATCACAGCACAGATTCAGGAGTTCTTCTCTGCCCGTGGAGGGATCGACCACATTGATGCTGTGTGTTTCGTAGTACAGGCTTCACTTGCTCGTCTGACACACACACAGAAATATATCTTCGACTCCATTCTTTCCATATTTGGCAAGGATATTGCTGAAAACATCATTGTGCTGGTCACCTTTGCAGATGGGAAAACGCCTCCGGTTCTCGAGGCCATCAAAGTCTCTCAGGTTCCCTGTTCCACCAATGAGTCCGGGGATCCACTTCACTTCAAGTTCAACAACTCTGCCATGTTTGCTACCAATAAGAAATCTGGAGGAGCTAAGGCGTCTGATTGTGAAAACTTTGATCAAATGTTCTGGAATCTGGGATTTTCTAGCATGACCAAATTCTTCACGTCCCTTAACATGATGCAAACTAAGAGCTTGTCTCTGACACAGGAGGTCTTAAAAGAGCGACAACAGCTAGAAGTGCTTGTGGAACGTCTCCAGCCCCAGATTAATGCTGGTCTGACAAAACTGAATGAAATCAGGGAGACATATGCTGCTCTGGAGCAGCACAAGGCTGAAATGGATGCAAACAAGGATTTTGAATACGAGATTGAAGTAACTGTCCCAAAACAGATCAAAAACACATCTAGCACCTTCTTAACCAACTGCCAAACTTGTCACTTCACATGTCATGACAAATGCGCTTATGCAAATGACTGTGATAAATATATGTGCTCTGCCATGAAAAACGGAAAGTGTAACGTCTGCCCTGGAAAGTGTGTCTGGAATGTGCACTTCAATCAGAAATACAAATGGGATTATGTCACACAAAAAAAAAAGGAAACCTATCAGGATTTAAAAAAGCGATATGAGGATGCACATGGACAGGTCATGTCAACAGAAAAGATCTTTGAAGAGCTTGAAAATGAGCTTGATGTTGTCCAGGATACTGTGGCAGGACTTATTAAAAACTCTCAAATGTCCTTGGAGCGGCTGCAGGAAATTGCCCTCAAGCCCAATCCTCTTTCTGTCCCGGACTACATTGATCTGATGATTGAATCTGAAAAACAAGAAGCCAAACCTGGATTTAAGGATCGCATTAAGTCTTTATTGGAAGTCAGGCAGAAAGCAGACATCATCAGTAAGGTTTCCACAGGAGAAGTGCTTCCACAGCATTGGAAAGAATACAAACGCACAGGAACAGGAAAAAATAAAACTTTGAGTGATATAAGAGGCTGGCTCAATGTAACGCTTCAAGGATTATGGAAAAAGTAGGCAGGAACCAGCGAATAATAAATGAAACTAATAATGACGTCAACAATCAACACAAAATGAAAGTAAAGTGGAACCCCCTCACAGACGACTGCTACACAAACAAAACTCCCTGGCCTGGTCCTCTCACATCCTTCACTGTCATCTCTCCTCCTTTTATCCTTCCAGAGCTCCACCATGGGTCTCGTGACCGCTGTGACACACAGGTGTCGTTCATTTACACTCGCACCACCGGCCTCGCTCTGTTCCCACGCCTAACCTGCTCTGCTAAACACATTCAGTAAAACTAAGAATTTTGTTTTTTTGTTAAAATGTTCTGTATGCGTTTTAATTATACTTAACACATTAGTTTAAAAATGGTCTTCATCTTCAATCTGCATATGATGTACAATACCCACCTGTATTATTTTGCCTAACAGTTTAAAATTGATCTATGTCATATTGATTTAACTGAAAATGTCACAAATGTTCAGAATGTATCAGAATGCTGTTTTGGGATGATGTAATTTTACTTTAATTGACTCTAGTTATTCAAAAAGCATGCTAGTAAAGTTACTAAATCTAAAGTCTGTGTACTGCCAATGAATAGTACATAAATGTTCCCTGGATTTTTATATATTGTGCTGTTCTTGTCCTGATCCTGGTGCCTTGTTTGTACATGGAACTAATTATTTTATATATCAATGAAATGTCATTATCTTAAAAATCATTTAAGCCTTGTAATGATTTTCTAAACTATATATTGATTTTAAATGATTCGATTTTCATAAAACCAGTTTATTCTTTCAAATATGTATTAGAAGCCTGATAATAATTTTTTAATTAAAATATTAAAGTTAAGAACTTTGACAATTATAAGACACATTTCAATATGATAACTATCAAATTTATTTAATAAAGTTTAAACAATAAAAAAAAATGTGTGGTATGTAAGGAATTTAACTCATTAATTCTATAAGGGAATTAATCATTAATTTTATTTCTAGCTCAGGTTTTGAAAGGACTCGAATCTGAAAATTCGACGTCCACCTGATTAGAACTGATTTCAAATTTTAATGGTTTACACCTTATCAACGGTCGTCCAGCGAGCCATTGACCTCAGTATATTTTAACAACTTGAATATTTGTATTTCCCTGGCCACGGGTAATACATTCTTTGATAAGTAAGCTACGAGCTAGATAGCAAGGATCTTGGCAATGTTTGACTTTACAGTTACGTATATGACACCCGACAATGATTCTTTATAAATGAAACACAAATTTTATTGGCTATTCTAGATTACATTAAAACTAATCTAAAACACACATACATACACACACATACATACAGATTGGAAGAATGAGAGTTGACGGAGTTCTGAGGAAAGCCCAAAGTTTTAACTCATTTTCACGAGTGGTTTTAAATTCAAACTTAGAGAATCACAAAGCAGAGATTTGTCTTGTGTTTACTGCTTAAATCAATCATCAGCGTCAGTTCAGCAGATAGAAGATTTTGTTTGTACTTGCGTTTTGCTGAAATCTGAGAAGCTCTTGTGATTTTCTCGTTGCTGAAACAGGCTTCCTGGATGGCTGCTTGAGGGAATCCCGAAGCTTTCGGATTGGACGCTGAGATGACGTTTGGGTGACGTCCCTTTTGGGGAAGCCCTCGTTGGATTGGTTGGTTGCCGGGTTACAGAGGAGCCTCTGGTTCTTCTGAGAGAGTCTGCTTTAGCAAGACTTTGCGTTCTGCAGAGTTACGAAGCTTCAACTGAAGTGTTTGAGTTCTTAGATGGTCGATCGCCTGATGGTTCAGCTTGTGAGCACAAGTTAGAGTGCTCTCCACACGGCGACAAGGCCTTGCTCGAGAAAGCAAGTGGCGAAGAGCCTGCGTTTGGGAGAGCAAGCGGCAAAAGCCTTCACTCGAGAGAGTAAAACAGCGAGAAGCAGTTGAATTTGAGGTTCAAAGTGGTTTTGATCCGTGGCATATGTCCAACCTACGGCGCAATCTGCCAATCAGCTTCTTGCAAGGCGGAGTGTGCATACATTTAAGAAGAGGTTTCAATTCATCACGTGAGGACACCTATAAAAGTTAATACCGCTATAAAGTCTCTTAAATGCAAATATTGTACCTACTATTAAAGTTTACTTCATTTCAACATTCGGCATTTGTTGTGCCCATTCGTTCAAGATTAAACTTCACATATTACACACATTTTAATAACCTTATTTCCTAAAAAGGGTAATAAACACTGATTAAAGTTGCACCGATTACATGAAACACGTCAAGCATATATATAAGACATACAACATATTATTTGTGAATCTGGTTGACCTGTTCTGCACATAACTGATTATCTGTTGAAATTGTCTGTTGTAAGTTTCGTGTCCCTTTTTTAGAATGCAGGGGGGAAAGGGGAGGTGTCCTGAGGTCATGCCCATCTCACGAGTTGGGTGTCTGCCATTCTTCTCCTGGACAGAGAGCTCTTAATCTGTCGCTTTCTGTTTATCGGATTTAGCTATTTATGCATTAGATGGTCATGGGGTCCAGGCGAGTCTGTCGCTGGAACATTTCCAGATACCATGTTCTTTGTTCTGTTGGAATGCAGGATGTGATGGGAGTCATGTGTTAGTCACGTATAGATCCCGTGTGGCCCGAGGTTAGTTAATCTACTCATCCTTTTCCTGTTGGATGTAAGAGTTAATTCATTGGTGGTCTCAAGACATCGTGGTTTCTATATGTTGTGAACGAACTTTCCAGTCCTGATACAAAGAAATCTTTGTTGTCTACTGATTGAATTAATTCGAAGCCTCACAATGAGTTGATTCAGTGGCATATCACAGTCCTGTGGTTTGTGGTATTAAGAAATCCCTACAGGTAATACATTATTTTTTTAAATTTTTTTTTAAATTAGTTTATCAATTCACTATAGGGAAGTACAAACATTATCAATGTATCACATTTAAATAATCACAAAACTGAGAGTATTAAATACCATGTTCTTTGTTCTGTTGGAATGCAGGATGTGATGGGAGTCATGTGTTAGTCACGTATAGATCCCGTGTGGCCCGAGGTTAGTTAATCTACTCATCCTTTTCCTGTTGGATGTAAGAGTTAATTCATTGGTGGTCTCAAGACATCGTGGTTTCTATATGTTGTGAACGAACTTTCCAGTCCTGATACAAAGAAAGCTTTGTTGTCTACTGATTGAATTAATTCGAAGCCTCACGATGAGTCGATTCAGTGGCATATCACAGTCCTGTGGTTTGTGGTATTAAGAAATCCCTACAGGTAATACATTATTTTTTTAAATTTTTTTTTAAATTAGTTTATCAATTCACTATAGGGAAGTACAAACATTATCAATGTATCACATTTAAATAATCACAAAACTGAGAGTATTAATTACGTTAAAGTATTGAATCACTTAAAGTGCATATTGCAGGTTAGAGACCCCAGTGAGTCATTGTATAGAAAAATAATGTAGAAACTAGATTTTCTTTCAAATATACTTTAAAATACGCTATTGAGGCTTCTGGAATCGTTTTTGTGAGAGAATTTTACTTCCGCATCTGAAAACCGCCAAACCGGAAGTGACGTAACGAGAGGGAGAGCGGTCAGTGTAAACAATAGGAAAAAAATGGATCGCAATTACAGTTCAGACGCTGAGGAAATTGTAAATGTTTATTTAAACCACAACCATACACTTATGAGCCTGCTGTGTGGCCAAGAGAGCAGGGACAGGCCAGGATTAAACAGAACAGTCAGACGAGACAAATTGAGTTGTTGTGTGAGGAGAACCAGTGGAGAACAGGGCAGGTGTCTTGGTTAGAGACCAGTGTTAGCTTACCAGTGTTTTTTAGTAATGGAGTAATTTAACTCGTTAGAATTTTCAAACTAGTAATTAGAGTTTAGTTGCAAGCCGAGGTCTCTATACGTTACTGCCGTGTTACAAGGCTGACAGAATGCAGTGTTTTATAATCTAGACCAGTGGTTCTCAAACTGGGGTACGTGAGATGACGGTGGGGGGTACGTGAACAAAATTCTGAGTTTTGGCATTCATTTAATACCCCAACTTAAAGCAACATTAAAACCGAATGTATTTCTGACAAGCAAAATGCTGCTTCTAATGTAAAAACAGGAAAATGCCGGTAATCGGTCAAATAGCCTACATCCGATCAGCTTACCTCATTTTTTGCGGTCAAAACGGACTGCATCAACACAAGCAGCGTGCATGTGATAGGATGGCTGCTGAATGTGCTGCTTTAGCAAATCGCGCTGCTGTTCAATGTATCTTTAAAGTAGATCTTCACTTAATAACATGAAGAGCAAATATTGACACGCACTGTACATTGAGATCGATTTAAACTCTCTTCGATACAGACACACTCTGTGCGTGTTATTGTTTAAGATATGAGCAAGAATGCAAATTTCCCTGAATATCCAAACGATGGCAAATGTGCCATTCATTTTTACAACAGTTCAACAAAAAAGGTAATATTAAGTGAACATTTTACATTTTAAATGTATCCTACATTTTGAACAGAATATAGTCATGTTTGTTCTATTTTGCAACGAAATAATAGTTCCAATGAAATCCGTATAATCTGGTGTGCATCTCCAAGCATCATACAGCGGTGTTTCATTAGTGAACGAATCTGCGGCTTTGAATGATTTAGAGAGTCAGTGATTAATAACCCATTCATAACTACAGCATTTGCTTCATTACTGAATGAAGGAATGAATGACATGATGCCTGGCTCATTAAGACAGCGACTTGCCGCCACCTATTGGCTGTTTTATTTCAATACAAGTATCACTTCAATTTGCCATCATTTATTGCTTTATTTATTATATTAATAATACACTTAATGAAATGTTAAGAATATGACATAAAACATTACATACAATTAATAAGGATATAAAATATTTGCCTCTATAAAGGTAAAAAATGCACCTGTAATTAAATCAATTTAAGGGTGCAAATATTGTCCTTTAATAGAAAAGGCGTGACTGCGGTCTAAGTGGAAGAGAGGGGGTACGCAGAAGAATGTTAAATGCCCCAGGGGGTACGCCGCTGTAAAAAGTTTTAGAACCACTGATCTAGAGATTGTAAAAAGGGTGTAGCACACGCACTGTCGAGTCAAGTGCCAGTTCATTACAGACCTGCTCTCCCGTGAGACCCGACGCAACAGAGTGCAGCACGGGACAAGACTTGATAGGCGAGTGCAGAGACTCGTGTGTGTGCGGGATGCGGGAGAATAAAATGATTCACAGGACTCCCACAAAATAGAAATATCTAAACATAAAATATCTAAAACAAATAAATTGTTATTCATCTATTGCACAAAAGCAACATGAACTAATATAAAATATAAACGATTAACAGGTGCAAGCGTATGCAGAGTTTCTAGT